GCAGCGGGACATCCTGTCTGGCTCCACGGTGTGGCCGCCAGTGCGCTCACCAGCACCACAGCACTGCGTCAGTCTAATTCCTTAGCCATCTTTCTTCCTGGCAAGTTCTGGGCCCTTAATCCCAGCCTGCCCTAAGTGCCATCCTGTCCCTGGACCGTCCCAATGTTACAGGCAGCTGAGTTAGATAGAAATACTATAGGCAGTCAGACAGGGCCAGGCCCTCGAAGGAGCCAATATGGAAGACAAGATACCTTCTTGCAAATAGAGTGGTGGTACTTGCTGCAGGCCAGATCTCAAACCAAAAGATTAAACAAACACACCCACATACCTCCTTAGGGTTGGACATCAGGGATTGATATTCTAAATAGGTAGTGATCACCTGGAAGAGTCCCTGACCCAACCCCTTGCAGGAAGAGCCCCTGTTCTGTATTCATGCCCGCTTGCTGTGTGACTCATTTCCCCATTTGATCCCAATTTAATCAATTTTACCTGAACAATTCTTATTGGCTGACCATAGTTGTGTCCCACCTCATGCCCACCTAGTGATTTCCCACTTTTCCCCTACCTTGGACCCTCCTCACCTCATGGTTTTGCTCTGTAAAATCCCTGGAAAAGCCGGGTTCCCGGGTAACCCACTTGGGGGCCCCCCTTCTGTCCCTCTCTCGGACAGAAGCTTTCTTTCCCTCAATAAATATGTTCTGTTCTTAATCTCCGTTGTTCCTTAAATTAATTCTTCGATTTTAGAGAACACGAACTCTTCCCAGATATCGTTCAGGTTGAGAGTTTTTCTCTCCTACATCACTTACACCCTGTGCTTCCCTCCACTCTGCTGGGCTTAATGCTTTTTCATTCTTCCTTTGTTTAGTACTGGAGATTCCCTAAAGGCCAGGTAAAGGCAAATACTCCTCCCTGGAGCTCCACCCTGGGCCTTTTTCGTTTTATTTTGAGGATAAAGTCCTGCTAGATTGCTCAGGTTGGGCTCAAATTTGCAATTCCCCTGCCTCCTGCCTCAGCCTCTGGAGTAGGTGGGATTACCAGTCAGCACCAACATGTCTGGAGGGCTTGAAGCCCTTTGATGATTGAAGAGTGTCCTTGAGCTCCAGATGTGGTAGGTCACATCATGCACCATCTCCCTTTCTTAAATTTTGACTTCTGTGTGGATAGAACTGGAACTTGTTCTATAGTAATATTTTTTAAAAGAATTCTGCATTACCAAGTTGTCCTGAACCTCAGCGGTATTTTAAATACTGCTGCTGCTGACAGCACTGTTTAGAATGGAGTCGTTTCCCTGCGTAGGTTACTGTTTTCAGCTAGGATGTGAGGGGCTGGGAATTTGGGAGGAGAGGCTTCTGGTGACCCTCCACGCCAAGCTAAAGGAAGTGGACAATGGCTGTGACCTGAGGTCTGCAACCTGCCTCAAGACCCGACCTGGGCTCTCTGTGCTTCCACTGTGAGCTGTGGCAACTGAGGCTCACTGAGCTACGTAGCAGAGGTGAGTCTCAGTGGTGGGGACAGGTAGAGTGGGGATTTGACCAAGTGGAGCTTCATAGCCTTCCCTGGGGAGTAGGCAAAGAGCAACCCCCCTCCCCATGTCTCCCTAACTGCAGGGACCCTGGGTGGGGAGATACAGGCACTATTGTTCCCTTTACAAGCAGCCAACCCTAGGTCAGCACTGCTCCAAGGAAGTCTCCAGGCCAATCTCCAGAAACAGCCTGCTCAATCTCTTTTTGTTTTTGTTTTTGTTTTTTTTTTTTTGAGACAGAATCTGGCGGTGTAGCCCAGGCTGGCCTTGAACTCAGAGGGATCCCCCTGCCTCAGCCTCCTGAGTGACGGGATTACAGGCATGTACCACCACACCAGGCAGGTATTTCTATTTCCAGTGAACACTCTCCTAACTCCTCCTTTTGTCTGTCATTTTCATTCTTCTACTTTGTGACACTATGGGCTCAGTTTGTACAGGATGGACTGTTTCACAGCGATTTTAGGACTAGCAGTGCACATCATTGCTGCCACGTGCCAGCTGTAGCTTGCCAGCTCCTCCAAAAACTGGTTTCTCTGTTCTGATGAAAGCCTCAGCCACCTCTCTGTTCCCAGGACATCGCCTGTGCATGTGCGACCGAATTGAAATCCCATTCTTTTGTTGTTGCTTGAGACAGGGTCTCACTTTGTAGAGTAGGCTGGCCTTGAACTGTGTAGCTCTGGCTGGCCTCAAACACTCAGTGACCCTCTTGCCTTGGGCTCAGGGCTCCTGAGGCAGGCATTATGGGTGTGCACCGCTATGTCTGGCAATGATCCCATTCTGTATTCCCAAATGGAAACTCCTTTCCTGGAGAGCCGTCTCTGTTTGACCTTGACACTGCACACCGAAGAGTGCCCCAGGTGCCCTCCAGGCCGGGAGGTAACAGCTTCTCACTGCCCTGGGCAGACACAGCCTAACTTCTGACCATGTGAGCCCAGTGAGGAGAAGGGGCAGAGAAGACAGCGGATACACAGCCCATGGTCCCACTCACTGTCCCCTCACCGCTGTGATTCTCCTGAGCGTCAGGGTGGCGTGTGGCGGCTGTAGAATGTGGCCTGGGGACAGGTGTCAGACACCTCCCCATGGCACGAAGCCTGCCAGGTGCTGTCTGAGCCAGGATAGTGGTCAGACAGGCATCAAGAGGGGATATTACCAATTTTTGACCCTGAACTTTTCTTGTCTTGGAATGGTGAAACCAACAAGACTGAGCACCTGTTGAACAACAGACTTTTATTCTTGGCCAAGAACAGAAGTAGGAGATAAACTCAAATCAGAGATTAGGAGAAAAACTCCACCCTCAGGGTCAGGAGATTATAGATACAGGGTAAAAGAAATGTTCAGGGAAGGACAGGCTAACAGGGGGAGGATTATCCGTGTGTTTTCTGGGAATGGACAGAGAGCTTCCTGGGAACTCAGATGCTTCCTGTTGTCTTTCTTTCTTTCTTTTTTTTTTTTTTTTGAGACAGGGTCTTGCTATGGATTGGCTTGAACTCACAGCAATCCTCCTGCCTCAGCCTACCGAGTGCTGGGATTACAGATTTGCACCACCAGGCCTGGTCCTTCATTCCTTTTAAGAATCTCATCACTGTCATGGCAATTGTCAACTGTCAAGGCACTGGGGTGTGTCTTCAGCATGCAGATAAGATTATAATGAGTTAGAGGCTGTCTGAGGTCTGTCTTGCAGAGATCCTAGATCCAACAAGTTTCCACTGGTCCACCTGAAAAAGGACCTCTGGCCTATAGGCACCCTGTACTTGAATATGAATAAGATTTGGGCAAGTAGAAATGCAGCTCTGTCAGGCAGGGAGAGCAAGATCAGGAGCAGGTAACAGAACCAGGAAAGTGCAGGTGATCCTCTCCCTTCTGCCACTGCTATGGATCAAGGTTTTCCCAGGACTTACATGGTACTTTCAATAATAATACAAACTTAAGATTCTGAGTTTGTCTTTAATGTTCTTAATGCACATAAAGGAATTCATCCTCCAAAGTGTCCCGTGGACACCTGGGACAGTCTGGGTGTCCTCAGCTAGCACACCGCTTCTGTGATAATGGAAATGAAAACAGGTGACGGCCATGAATTTTACAGGCAAAAGCTTTCAATGGAAAGTAAGAGAAACTGGTAAGAGATGTCAGCTTGAGGGACTAGACGCAAAAAGGCACACAGCTCTGACAGACTGAGCCAGCCCCTAGACAAGGCAAGTAAGAGAAAATAGGGACGCGATTTCAGCCTGAGGGGCGAGAGGAGGGTCACCCAGGCCCGGCGCAGGGTTCCCCCCTTTGGTTGGGGGGCTGGTCCTGGTTCTCAGGATCTCAGTGCTGGTTAGAGCTGCGTGGGAAGAAGTCCTTACCCTTGTGGCAATTCTGTCTGCCCCCAAGGCAAGCCTGGGTAGGGTGCAGAGCATTCAGTGCTAAGGAACTGCGCCCAAGTTCAGGTTCACCAGCCCTGGGGAAGTAACTGGAGAAGTCCGGGTGCAGTTGAACATCCCCGTAAATCTCTCATCTTGGTGTCTTCAGTCTTGAAAGGGGTTCTGAAGGGTCACAGAAACTTCACGCTAGCTTTGTTTTGTCAACATTTATTTATTTATTCAGTTTTGTCTTTTTGAGATAGGGTCTCGCTATGCAGTTCAGGCTGGCCTTGAGCTCCCTCTGTAGCCCAGGCTGGTCTCAAACTCACAAGGATCCTCCTGCCTCAGCCTCTTGGCTGTTTTGTCAACTTTTAGAAAGACTTGCATGCCTGAGCGGAGAAGGCTTAGACCCGAAGCCTCGAGGCAATCAAGAAAACAGCGAAAAGGCCAGGCTTTGTTCTGCGTCTGTATAGGTTCAAAGGAAGTCACTGGATTTTTAGCAAAAAAGTCCCTGACTTTTTGAAGTCCCTGACTGCTTTAGAAGAAAACACAAACAGTGCTTTCAAAGAGTAACAGGTTCACAGCCCGGGGCTAGTTTGTCCTGGTTCCCAAGGTGATCTCTGCGTCACAGACAGACCTTGGGGAATTGGCCTGAGGGTTATGCAGGTCCACCCACGGCCTCTGAGCCCACTTCTGTAAAGGTTTTTGTTTTTATTCTTTTTGGTGCCAGGAATGGAACTCAGGACCTTGACAGGCGCTGAGCTATATCCCCGGGTATTCTGAGCCCTCTTTAAAGGAGCTTTGAGGCAGTGTGGTGGCACACACCTGTGATCCCAGGACTAGGCAGGCTGAAGCAGGAGGATCGCATTCAGGTCGAGGCCACCCTGGGCAACAACAGTGACACCCAGTCTCAAACCCTCCATCCCTAAATAAGGCGCTTCCGCAGCGCCTGGAGCCACGGTGGGGCAGCCCGAGCTTCTGAGGGATCGAGTAGTTCGCCCCTCCAGCCCCGCCCTTCCGCCCACAGGGCCCCCGCCGCGCAGGCGCACTGAGCCGCGGCCGCGCTCTGAGGCATGCCGGAGGGCGAAAGGGGCGGAGCGAGCCGTAGCCCGCGGCTGCGCAGTCGCCTGGCCACGCCCCACACCGCCCACTTCCGGCGCCGCGGCTTTTCCGGCGCAGACCTGCGAAGCTGGCGTCGGTTGAGGCGGCTCGGGGCACGGACTAGCGACGACCATGGCGCCCGGGGCGACCCGCGGCCTCCCGC